TGATGAAAACATGAGGAAGCAGAACAACTATGTAGAGGTAGGGGCCAAGGGGGTGAGGGACCTTCTCCAAAAAGTCGGGGGGAGGCATGGACAATTTAGACAAGGTCCTTATTGAGCAACTACTTAGCCCAAGCATCATGAAAGATACTATGATCCTTGATCACCCCCTGAAGCATCGGAGGATAGTGAGGCTTAGCACCCAGGTGTGAACCTAAGCCGAGGAGTAGGGGGAACTGGGTTTGATTCCCAAGTCTGACCCACAGGGACATGCTCTGGGCCACTCAAGTTGCCTAGTGTCTGACCAGGAAATAGAGGACCCCCCCCAGCCCCCGCAACTCCCCTAAGAAGCTCCAAGTTCTGGAGACTTGGACCAGGGTCGTCTCCATGCTTCCTGAAGTGGCCCATGAGCTGTGTTCTGGGCCACCTAGCACCTCCAGCCTCGTTGTGAATCATTGGCTAGGAGTTCCCAAAAGAGCTTATCCAACTTCCAGCGGGGAACAGAAGTCTGGAAAAGAGCAAGGACCGGTCCAAGGTCACATCACAAACCGCTTTGCCCCTCTGGGACCTTATGGCTCCTAGCCTAAGGAAGGAAGCAGTGTGCCCACAGAGGACTTCCTCTTGCCCTGGCCCGGCCTGGCCCAGCTCCCCCACTCCGGCCAGCACTAAGGGCCAAATGATGCCCCCCCCACACCCATGCTGCAGTAGACTCAGGACTGGCAGCTGCCCTGCACCGACCAGCCGTGGGATCCTGGCCTTTCCTCTGAGCCCTACGCCCACCACCCCCTGCAGCCCCCAAAGGGAACTGTGTGCCCTCTGTCGGAGGGCGGGCCTGCCATGAAAGGCTGCCCGCACACGGTGTGGGTTGAAGACAGTGGCTGTTCAGGCCATGACCCTGGGTCTCCCGGCCCCTTCCTGCCCCACAGAAGTGCATTAACCTGAACCGTGACATCCTGAAGGAGGAGCTGGGCCTGGCGGAGAGGGACATCATTGACATCCCTCAGCTCTTCTGCTTGGAGCAGCTGACTAACGTCCCCTCCAACGAGCAGATGGCAAAATTGTTTGCGAGGCCCTACTTCCCGAACCTGGTGAGGCATGAAGGGGCTGGGCTGGGTGGGGGGATGTTCTGGTAACTCCAGCTGGTCTCCTGACCTCCCTGCTGAGGGACTAGAGGCTCAGGCCCAGCGGACAGTGGTGCCTGAGGAAGGGAGGTGTGGAAGCTCTTCTCTCCCTCCTTGGTTAGGGAACACTGCTTTAGGGAGCAGACCAGCAGGTCCCAGGCTGGGTGACTGGCCAAGCAGTGACCATGGGCCAGGCCCTGGGCTCATCCCCAACCCTAAGGGAGCAATGCTACATGCCCACCTCACAGATGGGGGCACTGCTTACCCTCTTCTGAGTCCCAGGGACACAGGCCCTGCATTCATCAGTCACACGTGGGTAGCTTTTAATTCTAGACCAGGCACGACGTGGCCCTGGGAGGAGGGGTGGGTAGCAGTGGGGGAAGTGTGTTTGAGGAAGAGAGGCTAGAGTTTGAGAAATGAGAAATGGACAGAAGTCAACTGACAGAGCTTGGGGGAAGGGCATCCCAGGAGAGGCGCCCCGATTAGGAAACTTCCTGTCCAGAACAAGGGAAGCGCTGTAGCGAAAGGAACGAGGGAGGTCTGCAGAACCAGACTGTGGCCCGACCGGGATTTTAGTTTTGCTGAAACCTGTCAGGGCCGCGGGAAGGTTCAGCAAAAGTGAGTTGGATTTTGTGGAGGTTGACTGGTGGTGTCTGCAGGGGCACAGCCTCAAGAAAGCTGTCTTGTGCTTGCTGCGTGTGGTCGAGCCTGACCACCGAGGGGACTTTCTTCCATGGCTCTGACCCCTACCTCGGCCTTGCCCATCCTGTCTCTGACAGCTGCAGATGATCGTGATGGACAAGAATCTGGGCATCCCCAAGCCTTTTGGGCCCCAGATCAAGGGCATCTGCTGCCTGGAAGAAAAGATCTGCCAGTTGCTAGAGCCCCTGGGCTTCAAGTGCACCTTCATCGATGACTTCGACTGCTTCCTGACTGAAATCGGGGACTTCTGTGCCTGTGCCAACATCCGCCGGGTACCCTTTGCCTTCAAATGGTGGAGGATGGTGCCCGAGCCCCAGGCCTAGCCCCGCCCCAGCGTGAATAGCCCCTTATTCACCATTCCACAGCATCCCGATGCCCTGCCTGTCCGGAGAGCAATATACCCCTTCTCCCCCCGGCCACCCTCGTCCGTCAGTGTCCGGAGGGGGTGGCCGACACTGCCAGTTCGAAGCCCCTCGGAAAACGGTCTTTGGCTGAGAAGTGGTTACTAAGTATCCATTAAAGTTCTAGGTGTTCTGAATGCATCTTGGTAGCAGTTGCCTTGTTTTGAGGATGGGGATGACCGCTAAGGATGGAAAGTTGAGCCCCTGGGACTCCTGTGGTCAGGCTGCCCCACCTGGGCAGGGAAGGGGGCAGGGACAAGGCTGGACTCAGATGACTTCAATTTTTCTCTAGCTCAAGGCCCTCTGGCAGGCTGGGTCTGCACACTTGAGCCCAGTGACTGCCTCCAAGCTCGGGGAAGGGAGGGGCATCGCCCCTTGTGGGTAGCTGGCATCTCTAGGGTCAGAGGGACAAGATACAGTGGGGGCAGGCCTGGGGGGGGGGGGATACCTTTGTTAACCTCAAGTGTCCAGGAGAGAAGAAACGCCCATCCTGGAACCCAAAGCTGCCTCTTTCCGCCCGTCTGCCAACCCCTGGGTGGATGGCATGAAGACGCTCTCAAGGTAAGTGCTTCTGCGGTCTAACCACCCGGAGGCTCCACCCCTCCTCCTGCTGATGGGCAGTGCCACTGGGATGGCAGTGGGGGGCAAAGACAGGGAGGGGAGGGGAGGCTGGTCTGAGGACCGAGAGCAGCCAGTAGCTGAGGGGCTCCACAAATAGTAGTGGCCGTTGGATGCTCTGAGTGCAGGTGGCCGGGGCCCAAGGGAAGAGCTCAGCCGAGTCAGCCGGGAGGAGCAGCCTGGGAACAAAGGGGGTCAACCCGGACACAGCAAACTGGGCTTCGGAGCACCGGACTGGCTCCTCGGTGCCCCCTGGTGGGCAGTTGGCTGGCTCTGGCCTGGAGCACCTCTGTGACCGGGGCTTACGTGGCAGATGACAGGAGGGCTCGGGCTCCCCCTTGGAAGTGGGGTTGGGGTGGGGGCGGGGGGGAATGAGGACAGACGTTTCTGGGCGCATGGACCTACCCCTGTTCCAGTACTCTTCCGTGCCTGAGCGTTTGCCCTCAGAGCCCCAGTGGGGCAAACCCAAACCCCTTTTTGAGTTGGGCCAGTGAAGGGGGACACCTCCCTGAGGGTCACAGGTTTCCGGGGAGAGGTGGGAGCTCCACTCACCTTCAACCCCAGGTTTAAGCCTAGAAACTGAACCGAGCTCCCCTGAAGCCCATCTTTCTCAGGGGAGCCTCGGCGTGCAGGGTGCCTGCTCGGAGCAGAGAAAAACGGAGTTGCTCCGCGTTCTTAACGGCTGATGCTGGTTCTACTGAAAAAGAAGCACAAAAGCCAAAACAGAGTAAACAGTGATGTCGTTTATTTAAAATGTTTACTCCAAGAAATATATATATATAAAAAAAATAAGACAATTACAGCACTAAACCAGGCACCTTCGACCAAATCACAACCTCTTCTTGAGTTCTCTCCCCTTTGCCCTGAACACCCTCTTCCAGGGACTCCTGCAAGAGCCAGAAGGTGGGTCAGATGCCCTGGGGGTCGGCGCAAAGTCCTCTCTTAGCCCAGCCCAGCCTGGGCCAGGGCTCCGCTTTCTCTTGGAGTGCAGGACCACCCCCTAATTCCTTGTCATGAAGGATTTTTTTTTCCCCATTAGGAAGTTCATTTTAAAATTCTAAGCCAAAAGGACTGATTGATTGTGGCAGAGAAGAAGGCCATCTTCACCCGGAAGTTCTGTGCCTAGGCTGCTCTAGTCCCTGGCAAGGGGCCCTAAAGTAGGCTGGTGGCGGGTTTCAGACTAGGCCCCTGGAAGATCGGAGCCCTGCCTGCCCCGGAGCAGCTCCCGCAGAGGGGACCCCGGGGCAGCCGTGCGGGTCCAAGGGGCACATGTGCCGAAGCCCCAGTCCAGGAGAAAGACTTGTGTCTGGGAAAACGGGTGGGTGCCCCGCACAGAAGGGAGAGCCCGAGATGGTGGCTTTGGGGGTGATTTGGACAAATTAGGTTAGTTTAGCAGACGCTTCTCCCCTGGACTACGGACTGACAGGACAGCAAAGATGAGCGTGAAGTCAGACTAAACGCGGGCCGCTCTCCTCGTGCAAGGCCTTGGGACCGGCCAGGACAGATCCTGTCAAATGCCCTGGAAAGGCCGAAGCTGCCGTAAGGCGTGACGGGGGCCGGGCAGGGAAAAAAAGCAACAACGACTAGATCATTTTTGGCATTTTAACATCGAGACAATGACAGGTGGTGACAACAGCAAAGCAAAGAATAAAAAAAAAGACCCATATTCAACTTTCCCATCCACCCAAGTGTCACACTGAAGTTCCATCCCCATCTCCCCCAGAAGCACCACGGAACTAAAAAATCTATTTTAAAGCACCCAAACCAGTCCAGACCCTCTCGAAACCAAGAGCCCCAGCCACAGCTGTCGCCTCTCCTGGGTCCAAGTGAGCGGAGGGGTCCGGGAAAGGCACCTCGTAACTCACGCAGAGCAGCGCAACGCCGGGGACGAGCTCGGGCAGAGGGCACGTGGCGGGATGCGGGGTGGCAGTCACAGGTCTGCGCCGACACGCAGGGAAGGGGGACTTCTTCAGGCATCCCAACTATTTGGTACCACAGCCAAGCAAGGCGACCAGAGAGCTGGGTTATAGCAGAACAGGCCCCCGCGTCTCAGAGCCAGGGTCTGTTCCAGCAGGATCCGGCAGCGGACAGGAACAGAAGCACAGAGGTGATAAAGGCTGGTACGTAAAGGGCTGATCCTTGCAAGGACTCCAGAATGCACTTTTTTTTTTAACTGCTGGCTGATCAATCTCTAATGGCGAGGGCTGGCCAGGCAGGCCTGGCTCGTCAGAGGAATCTTAGAGCCGCCTGTGAACCAGACACATTGTCCCCACGTCTGCCCACCCCCCAGGTCCCCACTGGGTCCACAATCACCTGATTTTCATTTGGACTTCTTTTACAGCTAAAGTAGATAAAAATGGCTAAACACAGACCCCAGAGCCCCCACCAGGGGGGAAATGGCAGATTCTATTAATGTTGCAGCCAAAAGGCAGTGGGGCTTACAAGCAGCCAAGGAGAGAAAGAGAATGCCAGCCTCAGCTGGTCTACAGGAACAAGCGGGAAAGAAAGTGACCCAGATGCTTCCGAAGCAGGCGGGCGTGATTTTGGATGGAGATCCACCACCAGGACGGTCTCTGTCCAGCCGCTGCTGGTTCCCGGAAGGGACATTTCTTTCTGCGTCAACGGGGACTCCTCTCCCAGGGAGCCCCCACTCGGATCACAACGCTAGTTACACCTGGAAAGGGGTGTTCTGAGAAGTGTATTTAGGAGCAGGAAGAAAAAGAAAAACAACTTGAAGGGGGAAAAAAAAAAAAACACCTAGGTTGCTCAAAGTTTCTGCCTCTTTTGTAGGAATGGTAAGTCAACTATGAGCAAATATTTTAATTAAACATTAAGAGAAAAAAAAACCACTTTGGAAAGCATACAGAAAAGGTAGTTGACGTTGAATCACTTATAAAACGGAACCTCAGGGAGTCTAACAAAAATGCACCTTCGGTCAACTTCTGCTTTCTTAAATTCCTCGTTTGACGTCCCGTCCCAGTGCACGTGGAACTGACAGCTGCCGCGGGAGGGGTGGAGCCGCGGGGGCTCCGGGAGAATCAGAGGGTCCGGGGGTTGTACTCTGGCAGTTTCTTGATCTTCTCTTTCTCGGTCTCGCTTTCATCTCGGGCTATTACCAGGGAGTGTGCGTAGCCCATGGCCACCTGGGGGAACAAATCAGCACTGGATGGGCCAGGGCCCGTCCTGGACAGTGGAGCTGACAGCGGGCTACCGGGCACCCTGGGCCGGGACCACCTCCACACCCTTTGCCCCATGGCACTAGTGTCCACGTGACCCATCACTGACGCCCTGCCAGCCAAAGCCTTCCAGGCTGCCACCAAGCAGGGATTCAACGCTGTCAGCAGAGACTGGAAGGGACGTGGGGATCCGGCTCCCTGTTCCCTCTGCCTCTCTGGACCACAATCCTGCCTTGTGTGGGGGCACATGCCCCATCTGTGTGTTGGCAGACAGGGGTGGGCAGGATGGTTGGCTGGACAGAAAAGCAGGAGCCTCACCCACCCCCCCATCTGACCCCCCCAGCCTAATAGTGCATAGTCTCAGCTGAAGGTACAAAGCAGATGTGAGTGGTACCCTTGTCCCCAGAACAAATCTGCCGTGGCTGGACTGCAGCCAGTGTCATTCAGGCTAAGAACAGCTACGGAGCCTGGCCGGCTTGCCCCTGTGCGTCTTCCTACTGATGCCCATTCCCCACCAAACCTCTAGCGCATGATGCGGCAGAAAAGCCACTTAGGGAGACGAGACCAGCCTCAGACAGGCTCACGTGCCCAGCAGCAGGGCACATCAGGTGTGGTTTGGCACAGCCTTTCTTCGCTCTGCTACCGGCCCCTTTAGCTTCTCGCTGGCCCGGAGGCCCCCGCTCACCTGCTCTGTGAAAATGCCATCCAGCGTCTTCACCTCTTGAGCCGCGGTGGAGGACTTGGGCTTGTGGTCCCCATAGCCCTGGCAAAACGAAGAGACACAGAGCTGGGGTCACTGTGGTATAGTCCAGATACGGGAACCACGGCGACATCTGTGGGGACCCCGGTGACCGGGAGCCAGAGCCAACGATGGCTGGCATGGTGACAGAGACCCGCCATGCCTGACACCACGGCTGGCCTTGTGAGCAACACCTACCCGCAGAAGTGCTGCCAACAGGGGACTGATTCTCAACCCGAGGAAGAACCTGACGCTGAACCGTCACCTGTGCAGGTCTGTGTGGTAACGGGCACCTTTTGGGGTGGTCACTGGGGAGACACCAACATCACGAAGAACACCGGCCGTCCCCACACTCCCCCTGCAGGCTGGAGACTGAACAGCCCCCGTCCCCCCCAGACGCTAGGACGCCAGAGCCAACGGGCTCTGCTCGAAGACTGCTCCGAGGGAGTCACGCAGACCGGGTGGGGATGGGGGCTTCCAGGGCCACCAGAGCCCTCCGTTCCCAGCTCCATCTGCCGCCAGATGCCTCCTCACACCTTCCCGTTCAGTGAGTGCTTCCTCCCAGATGCCCTGCCATCTCCTCCTCACCCCGAGACGCCGCCCCCAAGTCCCCCTCGTTCCCCTCTGGTTTCTAAATTTGGAATTTGGAGTCTCTCTCTGATAGGCCCTAGAAACACCTGGTCCTCTCTCAGAAGAATCCACAAAAACCGGGCCAGGCTCAGGCTCCTGATTTCGGGGCTGCCTCTGAGAGGCCGGACTGTCTGCTGCCCCAGGGCCCCCGTGGAGCCCCAAAGTCTGCATAGAACACCGAAGACAAGGCCACCAAGTCCCGGAGATGGCTCAAGGGACCAAGAAGCCCCCCCCTTCCCTCCTCTCCATCGCCCCTCAGCTCCCACCCACGAGCGAGGCGGGAAGGGAAACAGACCGTCTTCCCCACAGGAAATAACAAAGAGGCTGAGGATCAAATCGCATCTAGAACGGGCAGACCGCCAGCCGAGCTCAGCAGCCAAGCTGTTCTCGATGAAGAAATTAAAAGTTAAAGACTCATCAGGCACCAGAACTGAAGAATCAGACGGTTGGGGAAGGCCAAGTATGGGTGAGAAATCGAGGGCCATCGGTTCTCATCAGTCAGGGAACGGGAGATTAAAAGCAGGCAACACAGACTCTGACTTATTTAGGAAAAATGAGGGAATAATGTCCCCCAGTGACCCGAGAGGCTGGCCCCGTGGCGCACCGCTCTGTGGAGAAGGAGCAGGTGAAAACCCGGGGGCCACACCGTGCCCGATGCCCCGCTGCTCCGGCTGACGGGAACCCTCCCGGAGGGGAGCAGAGAAAGCACCCCCTTCTGTGTCACCGGCACACCTCAACCGCACTACAAGACCACAGGGAAATGGGATCTGAAACTGCCCTGTTCCCGTGTTTACAATGTGGCTGTGAAAGACTGTCGCCGTGATGTGATGGGCAGGGAATCCTCTCCGAGAGCTGATGTGACCCAAAGATGGCAGAGTGTCGCAGCCTTTCAGCAGACACCTGTCTTCAGGAGGCACAGCCCCAGAGAGCCCGGCCTGGGTCCCGCACCCTGCCACATGGGCCCCCCCGCTTACCAGCTCCCCGAAGGTCGGCGACGGGCCCCAGCTGATCGTGCTCTCGTCGGCAGCCACGATGATGCTGCTCTTCCTGCAAACAGGTAGGGGCTGTCATCAGCGTGGCCAGCAGCCCCGGCCCCCACGGGTGCTTCCTGCAGGCTGCCCGCTCAAGAGCAGGGTGTGACCTACTAGCATTAAGATCAAGTCCATCCCATTAAAAACCCTGCGAGGCATGCATTTACCACTACACGCACCAGGCCAATGGGCTTCTCCGAAACCCTCAACGGTGTCCCATGCAGGCCCCAAAGCAGAGCTCCCAGACAGCGCCAGGAACCAGCCCCCCACCCCCAGACCGTCCCACCAGGAAAGGAGGTCATCGAATCAGGATGGAGCGCTCATTCCAAAGGGAATGGAACATGGGCAGCAAAAACTAACATAGATGGGGCTAGACATTCTGGCAGAGATGAAAGCCGGAGCCCCCGTACTGAAAGACACTGTCCCCCCACCCCCCCCTCAGCCACCTGGCACTGGATTAACATAATCAAACTCCTCACAAAGAAGTGCTAGAGAGCTCAACAGGTGTCCTCAAAATAATCTGAGAAGTACTGGCTTAAGGACAACTTCTTCCCAGCTTGTCAGAGTAACTAAAATCCTACCATGATGTTCAGCTAAAATTATTTTAACCTGCAAGATGAACAGAGCCCACTGAGCCTTCGAAGAACAGAAACCGTCAAGAGGGCATTCCGTCTGTGACGGCAGGAAGACAAACCGTCATCCGTCCTAGGGCCCACCAAGCCCTCCTGCCCCAAACAGTCCCTCCCCTCCTCCGGAACTCTGGTGCATCTGATGCCCTGACTGGGGGGGGGGGGCGGTGTGCAACGAAGCCTCTCAAGGGAAGAGGCCCCCTCCCCCGGGTGTCCACCAGGCCCAGGAAGGGGACAGACGTCCTGCTCACCAGGTGACACGGCCACATACCCACAAGCCAGGCTCCGGATTCTCCAGCCACAGAGGTCCTGCACGGCCTTCGGGTACATGGTAGATTCGCGGGACGTGTTGGTGGCCCCCCAGAAGAACAGGCCACCTGGGGAAAGACAAAATACATTCCCACTGTGACCACACATGCCAAGAACTAAAATTCTCCTCTTCAGTAACAACAACAAGAAAGGAAAGATACCACACACTGGGAACAAGAGAGGAACATTCTGTCTGACAGAACACCAGGGTTTCGGTCTAGGAACGCAGAAGGACTCTGCAGCTCCCCACCCACCAGAGTGCTCATCTGCCAGGGAGGTTCTGCACCCCCACCCCGAGGCCCCAATGGGGGAAGTCACTAACCCACTTCACTGACAGCAAACGAGCAGGTGTAGCCGGCGTAGATCTGGGACGCCCCGCGCCCAGGGAAGTCGAACAGCTTCACCAGGCGAGGGACCATCTCGTCCTTCTGCTCGGCATGGCCCAGGCGGCCGTAGCCTCCAAAGCCCCAGGAGAAGACACGCTTCTGAGAGTCCAGAACCAGCTGTGGGCGGAGAGAACACACAGCATTGGGACGGCTCCCCCAACGGGAAGGGACGAGAGGAGCATTGCTCTGTTGCAGAGAACATGGTAAGAGGCAGAAATGCTGCAGATAAGCCGAACCTGCCCCCAAGGCGGGGGAGGGCACAGGGCATTTCCTCTTTTCCTCTGCTGCGGACGCTACTTTCTGTCCTGAATTATTCCGTTAAGTCACAAGTCCCCCTGGTTCCTCCTCAGAAGCATGAGCTTGAGTCTCCAGAGGGCAGGTCAATGCACCGGGTTCCCCCATCACAGTGTAGACGGCACTGCAGAAGGAACCAAGGCAAGGCCAGCCTGCCTGGGACTCTTCCTTAGACACCCCCCACCGCACCCCGTTCACAGGGGACCTCCATCTGGTCACAGGGACTGAAAACAATTTAAAATTGATCTTCAGGGAACCCCCGTAGCTCAGGTATGCACCAGACTCTTGATCTCAGCTCTGGTCTGGATCAGTTCAAGCCCCACGTTGGGTGTGAAGCCTACTTAAAAACAAAACAAAACAGGCGCCTGGGTGGCTCAGTTGGTTAAGCGACTGCCTTCGGCTCAGGTCATGATCCTGGAGTCCCGGGATCGAGTCCCGCATCAGGCTCCCAGCTCAGCGGAGAGTCTGCTTCTCCCTCTGACCCTACCCCCTCTTGTACTCTCTCTCTCAAATAAAATTTTAAAAAAATTAAAAAAAAACCGAAAAAACTTTTCCTTCATGGTGTTTTCAGTGTTCAGCATTTGAATGGTGTGAATGTACAACCTCTTAAAACCACTTGACGTAAGAGGCCTGCACAAGATCCACCTTTGCTTTCCCAGACTGCACTGGACATTATAGAACCACAGATTTTAGACTCCAGGGGACCAAAATCTCCTAGTCCACGTCACTGAGCACTAGACAGGGAGCATTGCAGGGAAGAAGCCATGCCTGAGGTCACTCGCCAGTCAGCCAGCCACACACCAGGAGACGACCTTGGTCTCTGGACTCCCAGCCCAGTGCTCTTTCAACAGAGAAGAAAGCCAATTTTGACTCACAGACATTCTTGGGCAAAATAACAAATACCGGGGCGCCTGGCTGGCTCAGTTGGTGAAGCAAGCGACTCTTGATCTCAGGGCGTGAGTTCAAGCCCCACGTTGGGTGTGGAGATTACTTACCAATAAAATCTTATAAAAACAAAACAAAACAGCATGTACACAAAAACAGTACTGCCATCTATCCAAAGTGATCTTTTTTTAAAATTTTTTATTTATTCATTTGACAGAGAGCTAGCACAAGCAGGGGGAAGGGGAGGAGCAGAGTCCCCGCTGAGCAGAGAGCCCGATGCGTGGGTCGATCCCAGGGTGCTGGGATCATGACCTGAGCTGAAGGCAGACGCTGAACGACTGAGCCACCCAGGCGCCCTTATTCCAAGTGATCTTTAAGGGAACAGCCTTCACAGCTGAAAACCATTCAACACCCTCGATATGGGGAATCATCTATGGACCTAGAAAGAGGTCTGTGGTGCTCTGTTAGACAAAAGCCAAGGCCAGAAAGGCACTTACAGTAGAATTCTGACCCCCAAACGTCTGTCCTTAGCTGCATCTCCAGAAGTCAGAGAAACTACTAAAGCACTACAACCCACGACAACTGAATGGTTGCAAAGCCGTGGGAGGAGGGCAGGATGTCTCGGATCTCCGGGATCGGTTCCCAGCCAGAGCCAAACGTTGGGGACACCGGAGCATACACACACCCTTCTCCGAGGAGGTGATGCTTGGGAAGCAGAGGAAAAGCCAGAAACCCTCAAGCCTTACCGTGTGATTAGCGCCACAGGCCACATCTCGTACGACCACATTTGGAACTGGCAAAATCTGCCCGTCTTTCGTCTTCTCGATGAAGATGGCCACACGCCGGGGGACCAGCTCGCAGTCATACTCTATCCGCTGTGCCCTGGCGATGAACTTCCCATCCGAGTTGTGTCCTGGGGTGACCAGAGCCAGGAGTCAGTGGCGGCCGAAAGCACGCGCCCCAGCCTGACCCATCGGGGCCTCGTGGGACACTTCTGTCAACCAACGTGATGCTTTCCCATTTGGGGGTGCAACCTGATCAGTACCATGAAATCGATTTTGGGGGATGAAACCAATTATTTTTAAGAAATGAACGGGACAGAATAGGAAACAACCGAGAATACTGTCCATAACGAGGATGTTGTTTTGTAAAAATTCTTTGTATGTGCCTCTAACTTTTGGATCAGACTGTAACACAGACCACATTTCTGACTATGAGCCGTGGTCACAGAAGCCAGAGACCCCGGGTTCAAAGGAATGGCCTACCAAGTATGGTCTGTGCCCCACTTGGCCCCTGGATGGGCCAAGAACGGACAGAAAAAGCTCAACCCACGATCCCTCAACTTGAGTTCTTAGGACTTACCGGTAACCTAAACATGTCATTACGGGTATTAAAATACAGTTAATGACACATGCTCGTGTTTGCCTTGCCTGACGCAGTAAAATGTGTCACGAGAGCGAGCGAGAGAGGGTGGGGGCGAGTGTGTGTGCTGGGGATAGACTTCTCTAAGGTTACATTTATATGTTCTAATTCTAAAAGGGATCTCTCTGGATTTGGACAAAGAGATTCAAAGTGGGTTTCGAAGAAAGCCGAGGAGGAGGACCGATTTCCGCAGATACACGTAAAGCCAGTATCTCAAACGACTGGGCACCTGAGAGTCGTATGAAGTGCTCCGAGTGTGTGGCACACGGCCCCTGCTCAAGGACTAGCCACTGCCATCACTACCAAGGTCATGGAGTTTTCACTCCAGGAAAATCCACCTGCTCGTCCGCAAATCCAGGGCAGCCAGAGACGCAGCAGGGGAACCACACACACTTCCAGAAGGACACTAGAAACACACTTCCGGTGCTGTGCCCGGGGTTGGGGATGGCACCAGGGCCTGTGGCCATGGAAACGGTTTCTCCAACAGTCTCTGGCAACTCCCTGGCAACCAATACTGCATGTGCGTAAGGGGCTGTTCGTTCTTATTCACTTCTGACTTGAGGTATATTTAGTTTCACAAAGTCACTGTTCCCTGGAGTCTAAGGCCAGCGCGATGCTCCTTGTTCTATTTATACCTTCTTCCATCTGCCTGCTCTTAATGACGTGGGGACCCGACAACCCAGATACGGGGGCCGCTGGGATCCGGAGTGACATGCAGCTGAGACGCCAGCAGAGGGCGCCCACTCCTCACCTCCTACTCGCCAGGGGCTGGGCTGTGGGAAGGCGCCAGAAGGAAAAAAACAAAAAAAAAAACAAAAAAAACAAAACAAAACAAAAAAAACACTTTGGTGTCAGATGGGAAAAGAAAATGGGGACCTTGTAAAATCAGGATCGGGAGACATTTTCCACTTAAGGGAACTGCTTTCTGGGCTTTCCCTTTCTACTCAATGAGACAGATGTGAATGTGTTTCTGGAGCAATGAGTGCGTTCTGTTTAGGGACGGAAACGAGAGAGGGGTCCCAGTCACAGGGAAGGGGGCTCAGGTGGACACCAGGGGTAGCCGCCCAGCCTAGGGTTTGCACAACAACCTTTACCTTGTGTGATGTTCTCACTTTTAATAAAGGCAAATTCTTAAATATGAAGCCAAATGAAAGTGTTTTTTTCTTCTTACAACTTTGAAACCCTTTTACATATAAATGAATTCCCCTCCCAGAAAAAAAGAATCCTTTGTCAGACTCCAACCCTGACTTACTCATTAAGGCCAAGCCATTGTAATGCTCCACAACCCTGTGATTTAGGACGTGCTGTCCCAGTAAAGGGGAGATCTCCACTTAATGGATCAAGGCTATTATCTGCCATCAATTACCCACATTTCCAACACGTGTGTGCAGGCCCACACTGACTTCTGGTTCCAGATATGCAGTTAGATTACAGAGCTTTTAAAAAATGTTTCCATACCCAGCTGACCATATTCAGGGCACCCAAAGGAATAGAGGTTCCCTTTGCAGTCCATTATCATACTGAATTCAGCCCCACAGGCCATTTTGGTAATTGGCTGGCCGTTGTACATTATCTGAAAAGACAAGACAGTAGACTCTAAGACATTTTTTAAAAGACTGATAAAAAGCCTCCCCCCCCGCAGGTCGGTGTGAAACAATTATTAGATTGCAAAGGAAACTGAACAGACCCAGGAATTGTGAGGGCCAAAGCCTAGAGTGTACATGAAGAAATACCCTTGTGACCCCCACCTTCCCAGCAGAGTCGAATCCCAAGACATGGCACGTGGTGCGCCCAGCCCCGAATTCCCCAAAATGCCCGACACTGCGCCCGGTCAGCACAGACCTCAGCCGAGCAGCCCGGGTGGGAGGGGTAAAGAAACAGACTAGCCCCCATATAACCCCCAAACCTCACCCTGCCACTAGCAAGCAGTTCAACCTCAACTTGGAAGACAGACGCTTTCTCCCACTCTCCTTACCCTCTGCAGAGACGCTAGCCTAACTAGTCCCCACAGAAGGCGTGGACAAGAGATAAAACCGTTCAAAGTTAGGAAATAAGACAGCCAAGGCCCCTGAGGAACTCAGCATGGGCTCTAGAAGCACATGTCAGACGGGACTTGGAAACCGTGCTATTATCACACCCAACAAGTGTGAGCCCTGGGCCCTGCCCATCGCTCCCGGCTTGCTCTAGAAACTGTCACTTCCTCCTTCGTGCAAACGGCAGACGCCAACGGGGACGTTTCAAAAATCCTTCAAACCCCAGGTAAGCTTGCACACAGTCTCTTTTACAGACCAGGAAATGGGATCCCCTGCCTTCATCCTTCAACCACTAATCAGAGGCTCACTAGCACGTGGCTGCCTTCTGTTAGTAGTCCCTCTTAGGTGTGATCGCCACCTCTCTGTTGGAAGCACACGTTCCTCAGGAATAAAAGACCGCCTAACTCCTGTCTGGGTGCCAAGCCCCCGGCAGGTGACGCCACACAAGGTCAGAACTCAAAAAGTATTTGCAGTGAAAGACAAATCCCATCCATCCAACATTTCTCACTTTCTTTGGAACAGAACAGGCTTAAAACAAGGCCTCTGTAGCAAATTCAAGCAGAGAGAACTGTTCTCTGGAGGTTTTTCAACCGTGGGCACCTAGGAAGCGTGCTTTCAAGACTACAGCACATGAATTCCACTTCAAGACTCTAGACCATTTTCACAAGGCATCGACTAAACTACAGGGAGCAGTGCTTGGTGTCAGCCTGGAAAATCGAGCACAAAAGCAAGAGAGACAGAGGCCCTGGAGCCAGGAGAGGGGAGCATGCGGCACCTGCGCGGGGCTCGGGACAGCGTCTGTCTGGTTGCCGAGGCCGAGCTGCCCCATCTTGTTCTCTCCAAATGCAAGCACGGAGCCCGTTTCTGGAAGGAAAGAATAGTATCACAGAAGGGAAAGGAACACTGAGGATTCTGAACTCGATTTGGGATCAAAGGCTCCAAAATAATAACAGCTCCTTCGTCAGGAAGAACGCAAGTGAGACCGTATGGCAGAGGTGGGGCGGGCAGCTCAGGGCAGCTCAGGGCAGAAGCCCTTCACGGCCAAGGCCGAGTGTGCGCGGAGGCATTAGGCACGGCCTCCGGCCTCTGCCTCCTGGCTCGTCTTCCCATGCCAACAGGAGGTGGGTGAGGTCATCAGCGGCCCCGAGAAGCTCCCACTGGGGCTCTCTGGGCACCTTTCTGATCCTGACCAAGAGCCAGAGGCAACTCCACCCAAAGCCCAGGGTGGACCGTGTGGCCTCCTGCCCGATTCAGAAGAAACCAGCTGCTCCTTACCCGTCAACGCCAGGGTGTGGTTCCGCCCACATGCTGCAGACACGATCACTTCATGGCTCAGACCCTCAATGAGTTTGGGGGCTTCTACCCTCTTGGTGTCACCGTGTCCCAGCTGCCCCTTCTCGTTGCGACCTGCAGATCAAGAGCAAGATACAGTGGGAAGGAGGGAGGGTGGGCGGAGCAGCGTCCCGGGAAAGGCAGACACATCTGGGTCCCCCCGAAGGCGCCCTCCACACGCGACAGCCGAGAACGAGGCAGAAGCAAGCCCCGGCTCTTCTGCCAATGGCCAGCCACTCGGGGCCCGCGAGTGGGACCAGGAGACCAGGGTAGGATACACGCTGCCATCCCCAGAGACGGCTCCGCAGGCCGCTGTCACCTCCCTCACCTTCTCTGACCCGCTTTTCTGGGACAGTGGCTGGGACCCGGCCAGGAGCCCTTTCCGTGGCTCTGCTACCGAGAGACAGACAGAAGTGCTCAGTTTGCCCTGGGTATCCCGCACAGGCACATGAGCTCATGGAAACTCCCAGTTCTCACTCCACCTGCCAGCCAGCCCACAACTCCCTCGCTCCCTTCCCTCCAAGGTGGATTTTAAGAGGGGAACCATTTTCGACACCCGCCCCACACACTTGCCCTGGGCATCTTCATGGACCATTTGGTTCATTTCTGATCGTTTCTTTTTACCTGCCTTGGAAACGATGCCCACAGAACAGTGCCAAGCCCACCGCCTGTGGACCGCCCTGCACAGGACCCTCAGCCAGGGACAGAGGACAGGACCGTGCGGGCCACAAGCCCTTCCCAGCGGGGCCACCACAGCCTCTGGAGTCACACAGGCTGTGAGCCGTGAGGCACATACCTTCCAGCAAGGCCCTTGGGCTCCACGGCAGACACGACAAGCAGGGTGGTCCGGGAGGAGCCCCTGCATCTCCCGGGCTTTTCAACACGGGCTTACCACAATTCTCAAACCAAACAGCTCAGCGGGCCCCTCACAGGTACCCCTGGCCAAGAGAACGACCACACGGGGCTAACCATATTTGGGAGATTTCACAGGGCCAAAATGTCACGGCACCTGGGGGCATGGGAGGGGAGCAGTTCACACCCTTCCCCGACAATGACCTTCGGACCTTTCATTGTGAGAAACATGGAGGGCAAAGCCACAAGGACAGGGACCAAGCATTCTGAGGGCTGGAGAAGGAAGGGACTAGCCGGCTACGAGAAAAACCGTCCTCGAGCTCTCCCTCGGATTCCAGCCCTCCGGCAGGAGTGCCAACCACCAGCTTTTACCGGGAGTCATCCAAATTCACCGGGAAAGGCATGGCTTCTCAGCCCCTCAAGAGGCCCGAGTGGCCAACAGGTGCGGACCCCTCAAGAGTGACGTGCTGTAGCACTGAAGCTTCCAGATGCCAGACAACATCCCAGGCCGTTTCAAGCAGCTAACCGTGGCACTGGGATGTATCCCCCCCACGCCACCACCAAGTCTGTTTGTGGGGACACAGGTCTTTGCTCAGGGGCCAGGCTGGGCGCAGGGCCTTCTGCACCACTCCCTGCCCACGGGGCCAGCACAGAGCACATTTTTAGAAGCACCATGTAAGTGCAATTCAGTAAAGAGATCAGAAAGAAGATATTTCAAGTTCGGAGCTCTGAGAGACTGCTGTGTTCAGTGTTGGAACACTAGGCAGAAGGGGTGTGCTCTGGGGGAAGGATACACCTCTGCGCCAATCGGGGAAAAGGAAAACCGTGGCAATGTCAGCATGTCATCAAGAGACTATAAAGTTTAAATTTGGGCCAGACACACTTGTTAGCTTTTTTTTTTTTTCCAACAGCATTACAAAATTAGCAGAGTGCAGCAAGACAACAGATGTTAATATATTTGGACTTTGGTACAGCAGCTCATGAAGTTGCAAAAAACGGTTCAAACAGACTGAAATAAAAAAGCAGTCATATGGACTAAAAGCTAGCCAAAGGACCAGAAACAAAGGGCGGGGACAACTGCCAACATACCCAGCTGGAGGAAGAGTCCAGGAGCTACCAGAGGGCGTGGGGCTAAACTGAGCCTTAGTCAGTACCTGGATTAAAAATCTGGAAAGAGGAAACAGGCAGCGGTGTGTGGGAGCCCCACGGAGGGGACCAAGGACAAGGGTGCCACGTCCCAGGACCCGGGCGAAGGGGTCCAGCAGGAAAGCAACTCCACTCAGAAAAAAGTAAACTCCACTGTCAGGAAATCCAAGAAGAAATAGGCACCGAGCAACTGAACCTGCAGTCGGGTGTGATCCCTGGAAGCAGAGGGACAGGATCGGAGACACGGTGGCCAATGCCATGACGTGGCCGGTGGCATTTAAAGTGGCAAGAACAGAGGTCTTACGTCAACACTGTGCCACGAAGCAAGAAGGGGGGGACTGTCTGCCCAGGGCACAGTGTGTCTAAAAGAGGAATTCAATTCTAGGTGCTTCGAGATCAGAAAAATCTAGATTCAATCAGAACGTTCAGGAAAAGGTTGCTTGAAAAAGAGGATTCAAGCGAGCCTGGGTGGCTCAGCTAGTTAAACGTCTGCCTTTAGCTTGGGTTATGGCCCCAGGGTTCTGGGATCAACCCCATGTCGGGCTCCCAGCTTCTCCCTCTCCCTCTGCCCCTCCCCGGCTCATGCGCTCTCTAATAAAAAAAAATCTTTCCCCCAAAAAAGAAGATTCAAAGAGTTCGGTGTACAAGCAAACGGCAGAAGGGTGGAGGAAGGGGATGCACTTGCAAGGAACAGGCGAGACCAACTGGAAATTGGGGAGAAGAAATATGGCTGCAAAAAGGCCACCCTTCCAGGCAGAGAGAGGAGAAAGTCAGCCCCACGGGGGGGCTCACCCCCACAAGTCACCCTGTCCCACCCGACCCCAGACTTACCCCAACTCCACAGCTTCCCTTCCGTGGTGATGAGGAGGCTGTGGGCAGCACATGAACCCGAGACCACCGTCCGCACCCGGACCCCCGACAGGCAGCCATATCTATGGGGCCCCCACAAATTCTGACCGAGATTGCGGTAGGCAGCTGCAAAGGGAAGAATGCAAATCAAACACCCAGTGACTGGGGGGGGGCAAAACACCCCAAGAAATGTCACTAGCCACAAATGGTCCACTCTCCTACGACATAGAACCCCCGGGGTGCTGCGTCAGCCTCGCATTGGGAGGCTGCCCGAGGAGAAAGTGCGCAACTGAAACAAACCGACCACTGTCGCCCCACCTCTGTCTCTGGCCCCAACCCACAGGGACCTCAGACCCTCGTGCACCGGCTGCTGAGCACGTCCACGTGCAAGTGGCCAAAAAGGGACGGTGCTCTCCCTCCTGCTGGGAGCCCAACCGAGGAAAGCTGGTGGTGGACCCAGCATCTCCTTCCCCATACCCCTTCTCACCTTCCCCTGCCTGCCCTCCACTCACCTCGGCCTCGCCCCTATAGCCAGAGGCTCCTTTTGGAGTGGAGTCTGAGTGTCCCCATCCTCCCCAGAACCACCTGCCCCCCTTGCACATCTACCAGGCCCCGTGCAGGGGGGGGCCCCAGTTGACACCCCTCTCCTGCCACACGGTGTCCTTTCTCCGGGGTCCCACTGTAGTGGCCAGGTCATGGCCCCATGCTTTGCCATGCATTCCCTCCCACAGAATGCCCTTCCATGTCCCCTGCTTGTTCTTCAAACCTCACGTCAAGCAACCCCTCCTCTGGGAAGCCCTCCATGCCCACATCCCTCTTTTAGCTCATGGCTCCCACACACCGGGAGGCCGATCACAGCACTCAAGCCTACTGAACTCATGTGCCTTCCAGGCCCTAGCAACCCGAGGGCCTCGCCAATGCCTGGCACCCAGGGAGCACCCAGGAACACTGAAAGGCGTGTGGGTGGGAAGAACACAGCTGCTCCTTTCAAAACTCCCTCTCCTCCCCATTCGTGGACAGGGCATGGCCAACGTTTTGCTTAATACTTTCAATTTGGGGCTCTCAAGGACAGAGACACGAGCCACGTTTCTCGGTCCGCGAGGACCATTATGAAATGCTAGCAGCTACCACATCAACCGTGTCACGTTAATCTGGATGTCGGAGCTGATTACGAGGCTGCTCAGTTACCGGGCTCCAGTGGAAAAGCATCAGGAATTCTTCCAGGCCAGTCCTGCCCTGCCGCGCCCCACCAGCAGAGGGCGCCAGGCGCGCCCTCATTCACTTACGGGGCCACCGCAGTCAGCACCCCCTACACAGCAACACCCCCGAGCTGCTCCACCCTGAGACACTCTGCTCTCCTGGAAGGTGGAAGACGACCCAACAACTCCCTGGAAAGAGCACACCAAATATGACCGCCTTCAGGGGTTCTGCCGAAGTCTGTTTATCACAAAGGCGAAAAGGACAGTGGCAGGACTGACCCGTGTCATCTCTGGGAAAAACGCACAGCGCCCGGGGACACCGTGGAGGGAGGGACCCGGTACCATAGGAGACCCAGCCTGAAGTGGACCTGTCTCACAGGGGGCCAGACGCCCTGGTGTGCCGAAGCCTCTTCCCTAAGGCAGCTCCAGGAGGATCAATGCCCGAGACGCCGAGAGCCTGAGGGGCAGGATTTGTCCCGGCCCCTGAGGAACCCTGTCCCAGTGATCCAAGTCAAATTCGGTGCCTGGCAGCAGTGGCGGCTCTTCAGCCAGGCTGGCGGTCAGGGGACGGAGCACAAGCCACCATGTCATGCTGTCAACGAAGTGGGCATCACGCCGATTCCAGGGGCTTCGTGGCAGTGGGCACCCGGGGGGCTGCCCGGCGCCCCCTCCCAGGGTGCGAGGAGACTGGGAAGGGCCAGGGCGGGAGGAGAAATCCTCCTCCCCTTCGGCTCGCACCAGCGGGACAAGTCCTCCCCCTTTTCCTATAGCCTCGGTCACGGAGGGCTAAAGGATACTTTAAAATACTTAGGAAGAACGTTTGTTAATTACATAAAACTTCAGTTGCAGGGAGATCCATTAGGAGAGCAAAGGCCGGAATGGGAGAAGACAAAAAGGCAGTCTTAAAATGCACCCAGAAGGCCTTCAACCAGGGCGTGAAAGTGGATTTTAAACCACAGGCAGTTTTCCTTCCTTCTGGGCTTCACCGGGGTGTGGGGAGCCCGGCACCCCACCCTACGTCCGCAGGAGACGGCCCGTACTCTGCCGCTTGCTTTCCTCTGGCATTTACTTCCCAGCTCCAGCCTGAGCGTGTGTGACTGTGAGCCGGCCACTCACTGGAAAAGCAGCTCGGAGACGTGATTCGGCACCCACATGGGGCCGGCAGGGAGACAGTGGCCATCACACCCCGGGAGCAGGTGGTCCTTTCCACGACAGGAGGCAAAGGGCTCGGGCCCCCTCCGGCTCAGCCAGACCCCAGGCACGGCTGGAAGTCCTGCTGCATTCACGGAATACGATGATCTCCTCCGCCCAGCTTGAGGCACGAGGGAGTGTCCGTGTGCAAATATTTGTTCGCTGGGCGATGTTGGAAAGTACTTTGGGAATCTTTCCAAATGAAATCAAGAAGCCATAAAATGTGGCGACAGGCCAGCTTCACTTCTCTTGGATGGGCCAGTATCCTCCTGAGGAAAGATACTGATTTTCTAAAAGCCACTGGGAACCAAAAGCTACTTCTTGGGGTTTCTCTGCTCCCTCCGCTCCACACTGCTGTTCGCTCCGTCTGGCCAGTTCCTGCAACAGTTTGGCAGCGTGCAAACTCACGGACTCTTCTGTAATGTCTAACGAGCTGGACGTGTGACATGTGACAAACGTCTTGGACATTCTGACATCCCACAGGACCAGTCTCTTCATGTTCATGAAAGTAACTGATGTGAGGAGGATGGGAAAAAGGTGTCCATGCTATCTGTGACTATTTGTACTTTTCCCATTTAATCCTAAATGGAACTAGGTTTTTAAAATACATAACTGTGAGGGGCGCCTGGGTGGCTCAGTCGGTTAAGTGTTTGACTCTTGGTTTTGGCTCAGGTGGTGATCTCACGGTTGTGGGATTGAGCCCCGCGTCCGGCTCCGCGCTCAGCATGGAGTCCGCTTCGGATTCTCTCTCCCTCTCTAATAAATAAATAAAATCTTAAAAAAAACAACAACACAGAACTGTGAAATGAGAGACTGGCACAAGACCAGGGTTCAAGTCCTGCCCTGTCACTAGAGGGACTGTGTGGCCTCAGGCAAGTTGCTTGACCTCTCTGAACATTTCTGTCAAAGCAGAGTACCTACCTGGTGGCTCCTCACAGGAACCGCACGGGACACCTAGCACACAGGAAACACTCGACAAACTGTAGCTTTGTAGTTTTAGAAACCGGGTCTCATACCTTGCTGTTTAGGCACTTCTTTTCGACCAATCAAGTCCCAGTTGGTTGCCCCAAAAATCAAAAGCTGCCCTTTGCACTTAGACCCTTCAAGTTTCTACAGAGAGAGAGAAAGAGAGGGAAAAAAGGATTAGCTTGCAATGCAGCTTCCAGCTTTGGCAGTCTGTCCCACTGACAGCCAGAAACAAAAGAAAAATCATCATTCATTATTCGTGCCTCCCCCCGCGGCTCGTACTGTGAACGGAGGCCCGAGATGGTCACCACCTCATCAGTGTGCATAATCCCAAACCTGCCACGGCAGCTCGTTTGAGTGGCCCAGGCTCATTTTTATCCGTTGATTTCTCTTGAAAATACCTTGTGCAAAACACTAAAAAAATCAGCTACATACATGGCGTTTCCTTCCACCCTGCAAACTGCCTTAGAGGTAACTGCAAGAAGCCAGGCGTGGCGTGCAGGGAGTCCTAAGGCGGCTGACCTTGGGGCCAGCAGAGCCCTGCATCACCAGTGACTTTGGACCGGCCCTATGCATGCTGCCTGCTGTGCCAGGCACCTTTCCAGGGCGGGGGGGGGGGGGGAGACAGCATCAGAGCACCGTGTGACACGGGAGATCCCGGCTGGGCCTATCCCGGCTGCCGACCTGTGAGCCAGGGAAGCAGCGGCTAGTGGGGACGGGGCGGCTCTGGGGCCGGGCCCTCGGAGGGAGAGGCTGTGTTCCCTGCCCCAGGACTCCAGAGTCCAGACGCTCAGCCTCCCCACCCAGAATGGCGCTAGGACCACACACTGCTGGGTGGTCGAGGGGAGGACGCGCCACTCAAAAAGGCCACTGTCCGATCTGGGATGGCACTCTTTAGAATACTCAGCAGTGTGCTGCCTTAATGAAATGTCCAAACACGCTTTTAAAAGTTGCCTGTCAGGCGGAGATTTGCTTCTGAACCACGCACCCAGGTCCCTGCGGGGGCCGGGGAAGAGGGACTTCCCTCTCTGTTGTCATCCTTTATCTCACCACCCCAGGTCACCGAAAAGAATGGTTTCCTTCTGTTTACAGAACTGTTCTTGGAAAGCTTGATGAGAAAAAGCCCCCCCGCCCGGGTCATTCTAAGCTCTAGGTGGTGCCTGCCCTGGCGGGATGCTTGGCGACACAGTCCGTGCATTTTTAAGAGGAACACATCTTCAGGGGGACGCTGTGTGACCCACACCTGAGGCCATGGGCACCCCACACAACAGGCCCCGTCCTGCAGGCAGCACATGAAGGGGAGCCCAACAGCTGGGGAATGAGAAGGACCTCATCACACGTAAATTATTGAGAGAACGACCTCCATCGGAGGACAGTCCCAGCCCACAGCACCCACGGGCTCGGGTTACTTGAACGGGAGCCGAGTTTCCCTCAGTTATCTCCCCTTTGCTTAGCAGGCAGGTCTGGCTCGAACATTCTACAGGTCTACCACAGAGGATGAACAGCAGCCAGTGGGTCCTGTCAAGTTCCCCAAGGAAGGAGTGGCCCTGGGTCTCTGCCAGATACCCGGCCGGCCCCCCCACGGCTCCTCAGGTGTGCGTGGAGAGGGCAGCAGGTGACCCCCGGGGGCAACGTGACCATGAAACCACGACATGGAGGGGCATCTGCCAGCGTGGCCGCTCCCTCAGACTGCAAGAGCTTCTGCGATGGCCCCGGGCAGGAGCGGGCTTCCTCTGCACGAGGGAGCAAGGGCCTGTGGGTACTGGGCTTCTCCAAAACTCCGACCTTTCTGATCCAAGGCTTGTGGCAAGCCTTCGTCAGTGCAGTCTACTCTAGTCACCGTGGTCAGAGTCCTCCAAAGAGACTGTTCTCTTTCTTAGGTTTTCCTGTCCTGGGCCTTATGTCCTCACCCATCAGATGAAACTAACGGACTAAACTTCATGCTATGATCTGCACAGCTGTTTGCCATAGGCCACCCACTTTATTTCTCCCTAATGTAATTCTTCCCTCTACCTTCTAGGAAAGAAAAATTTCAAATAAGGAATAGAACTCCTAACACCCTTTAAATCACAGCCCATGTCCCTCTTGGTCACAGACCTGAGCTGGCCTGACAGGTGGGAAAGACCCCGATGTCTGTGGGCTCCACCTGGAGGAACCCCAGGGATGGCTGTCGGGGCTGAGGGACGGAGGCTCTGGGACCCCTCGAGGTCTAATCCAGCTTTCCCTGATGGGCCGAGAGAGTGCTTTTTGTGACTAAAGGCTATATGGCAGTGAAGCCGGTCCAACAGTCTCCCCAAGAGGATGCGTGAATTTCACTCCACCTGCTGCCTCCCAGCACCCCGGTCACGTACGCTGGTCCAAGATGAATGGCCACCGCAGAAAAATGCACTGAGCCTCTTCAATCAACAAGGTGGGATTTCTGGTTCAAAGCGATTTTTGAATTATTGCCCAAGAGCAAAAAGCATGTTTATAAAGCTGAGAGTCCACCTTTTAACATATATCCTTTTAGGAAACCGCTACCCCCGGCAGAGGGAAGGCTGCTCAGAGAAATGCCAGCAACGACAAATTCCCTAACGGGCTATCAACTAGAACAGACTTCAAAAGCTCGCTTTTTGGTCATATTTGTTTGGCCCTTGCAGATGGGACAGACTCGTCTCAGGGTCCACAAGACCTTAGCACCCCAACACTGAAGAAACCACAAAGACCCGCACAGCTGGCGACACTCCCGTTTTCCAGAACTCTGCCAAGGTGGCCTGCATTACCTCCAGGGTCACGGGGCTCACACTTCATCCACCCTAGACCCCTGTAAAATGCTCATCTGACAACACTACACGTAAGCCCGGCAGAGCATTTCCTCAGACTGAAATCCTAAGACTGTTTTACAAAAACACACTCCTTTACTCAAGGCAACCTTCCCCTCAACCACACGAGTATCTGGGGTTCACAAGCCCCGACTTCGGCTTGGCGTTCCAGACTGCTCCCAGCAACTGCTCTCACACACACACCTCCTTCAGGCAGCCCTCCACAGTGAGGCTTGCAAAATTCTCCTGCAAAAAGCCTCTCTGGAAACAAGTGAGGGACTGCTGGTGGCCCAGGGCAGGCCTGCTTGGCAGGAGCGAGCTGATGCTTCCCTTGGAAGCCGGGAACCTGGGGCCAGGCAGGGGGACCCACGCCGGTGGGAAAGCAGCGGGGCAGCACGGGCCTGGCCTTGACTCTGGACCAAACTCAAAACATGCTAACAAAAACTGGAAACTTAGGGTGTGCATCTTCCACGAGGCATTTGGATGCTCAGTCTCACTAGTCCAAAGGAAACTGCACTACTGCTTGTTTTTTAAGGGGGTGGGGGAAGGTACGCACAGATTTATGTACGTGTATCCAGAATGCACAGGTTTGCGAGTCGTAAATACAGAGCAAACGCAAACTGCAAGGCACTGCTGGGTCTGTCTACTCCTGGGGAGCAGAGGAATCTCTCAGTAAGACTAAGAAAGTGCCGTTCCCATCAAACAAGCCAGCGTGTGCCCCTTTGCACACTCTCTCTGGGACTACATGCTTGGGTGAACCTCAGCATTGGGGTAAGGACCACTTCCTTCACTTCGGGACAAGAAAACACGCTGCTCCGATAGGCTGATTGGGAACCCTGCAGCTGACAGGCGCCCGGCACACAGAACACAGCACAGACAGAGCCCCGCCGGCCCTTCTGTTCCGTTTCCCTCCTAACACACCGGGACTGGAAGGGCAAACGGCTAGAGTCCCGCACAGAGAATTACATCTGTCAAAGGAAAACCATTCCTGTGCTCCAGTTTCTCCATTCCGGCCAGTTCCTGGCACAGCCCTGGTCCCAGACCCGAGGTTAAGACAGTTCAGTGACACGGGCTCTCCTCCACCATCTGACGCGCTGACCCTTTCAACGGGAGGAAGCTATGAAGCATTTTCACATGAACACTTTGCATAGGGTTTAAGGATGCCATCAGTATACACCTGAGCCCATGTGGAAATTTACTGCCATGGGATGCTGGAACAAGGCCCTTAAACTCTGTGCCTCAGTTTCCTCATCTGTAAGGCGGATGAAGAAACACATTCTTGTTAACCATTTAAACACTGAGCACCTCTGAGGGAAGCACTCTGATACTGCTAAGCCTCACACACCCTTTGGGGGCAGAAAAGGGTCTCTCCAGAGTGCCTACACCCCAAGTGGAAGTTCTTACTCTTCTGGGGCTATCTGAAATCTGGCCAATGCTCTGATCCTCTCCTGAACACAAGTCCCTCAAGAAGCCCGTGGGTTTCGAGGATCGCAGACCCCAGACTAAGATCTCTGGCTCTGTGCAGGGTTTTGCAGGCACCAGGAGCTGGTCACGACCTCAATTAAGATCTGCAGGCCCAACTCCAACGAGAGAATTGAAGCCCACTCAAGGGACGGGAGATGCTTCTTCCCTCGGGGAGGGAGGGGGGGTGTACACGGAGCCCGCACCGACCACCCGCGCCCTCCGACAGCAAACGTTGAACAAAGCCCCAACACCTTTCAGCCCCGGGGGCTTCCCGACCTCAGGGGGAGGGCTCTCCGGAGCATGCGCCCTCGCACCCCGCCCCGGCGCCGGCCGCCCCCGCCTCCCCGGCGGCGCGAGACGGCGCAGGGCTGCATGAGGCATGCGCGGCGGCCGCCAGGCCCCGCCCCCCCGGAGAGCCGGAGCCGAGGCGGCGGGAACCTCAAAGCCCCGGCGCAAACCGCCGCTCCCCGCAGCGCCCCGGCGGCCCCCTCCCCCGGCGGCGCCCCGGCGGAACAGCGGCCGTGGGGAGGGGGAGGGGAGCCGGGAGCGGCGAGGGCACCGGGCGCTGCGGCCCGCACCCGGCGCGCGCGCGTCCCCTCCTCCGGCCCGAGACAACTTGCAAAAGTCTCCCTTCCCGGGGCGGGAGGGGGAGGGGGAGGGGAGGCGGAGGGAGTCGGCTCGCGCGGCGCCGGGGGCGGGGCCATGACCCCCTCGCGCGGGCGGGCGCGGGCTCCGGCCGCCCCTCCCCCGGCGGGGGCCCGGAGCGCGCGCCCCAACGGCCAACGGCCGCGCGGGCGGGGGCGACGGGGTCGGCTAGGCCGCGGCCCACACCCGCCCCCGGCCCGCGCCCTTTTGTTGTGCGGCGGCGGTGGCGATGATTCAGCCCGCGGCCTGCGCCGGCCCCGCCGCCCCCGGCCAGGAAGCGCAGTGACGCGCCGCGGCCCCGGCCCCCCCGGATCCCCCCGGCCCCGCACTCACGACGCGCTCCTTGGTGTGCTCGGGCTCGGTGATGATCACGGCCGCGCCGCCCGCCTTGGCCGCCGCCGGCCGCGCCGCGCGCTTGCCCCCGCCGGGGGCCCCGTCGAGCTCCAGGCCGTCCTCATCGCCGCTGCTGCCGCCGCCGCTGCTGCTGCTGCAGCGCTCGGGCCGCTCGCGCTTCCTGCCGGCCGGGCCGCCGCGCTTCCTGGGCCCGGCGCGGGCCGTGCCGTTGCCCGAGCTCGGCTCCTCCCAGGCCGCCGCCGCCGCCGCCTTCTTCCTGGGCATGGTCGCGCTGGAGGAGACACGGGGCAGCGGCGCACAATGGACGGGTTATAAACTGCGCGGGGGGAGGGGAGCGCAGCCGAGCCACCGGCCTCCACTTCCTCCCCTGCCCTCCCCAAAGTGGCGGCCGCGGGGTGGGCGGAGAGGGGGCGAGCCGGGAGGAAATCGCGCCCCTCCCGGGCCCCGGCGCGCCTCCTCCGGGGAATCCCGCATGGGAGCCCAGGTCTCCGACTGCAATCCGCTTAAGGAAAGAAAAAAAATGGAGCCCCCCGCCCCCGGGCCATCCTCAAGTTAGGTTTGCCTACATGGCATCACCATCGCAGCCTGGTCCCCAAGAAAGTAAAGGGAAAGAAAAAGGAGCCTGCGATCCCCTAGCTTCTAATTAGACAAGGCTCCGGGATGCTTCAAAGATCCCCCTTTGAAAGAGCTTCCCCCCTCCCTGGCCGCCCCACCTGCTGCTTTTGTCTCCGCGCCCCCCTCCCCGAGCCCCCTCAATTAAATGCATTTCTCTGGGTCGCTCCCCTCCCCCGCCCGAGCCCCCAATTCCGCGCCAGCCTGGGGGTTCCGACCTCTGGCTCTAATTAGCCTAATCCCTTGGGGTGGGCTGCCCCCGGCGAGAGGGGGGCGAATGAAGCCGGCCCCCAGCCCCAAACACCTGCTCGCACAGACACGAAAAATAAAAACTTTAATGGTGCCTAACTCTCCCGGCCCCTCCCCGAACGTGCGGCCCAGCCGGTCCCTCCGATCCTGGCTGCGAAGTGCCCCGCTCCGCCGCTACTTTCCCCCAGCGTCCCTGCGCTTTCGCCCTGTCTGCCTTTTTTTTTTTATTGATTTTGAACAATGGGATCTCTGTCTGTCTCCGATTAAACCACGTGGATCCGCCTTCCTTCCCCTTTTTATTCATTCAATCCCCCAACCCCCCTTCCTTAGGGTTTTTTTTTTTTT